CGTGCTATATAGCCAGTAAGTCCACGCACGCCCATTTGAAATGTAATTAGTTTTATTTGCGATTATTTATTTACCTTTCAATAAAAGGCACTTTTTTATTAGTATAAATAGCCATGTGTTCGCAAAACTCATTCACGAAATATTCAGATTTGTTTATCTGTGGTGAATAAAGATAAGTTGAAAAATGGGAAATCGTGGAAAAATGTTTCCAACTGGGTGTTGCCACTTGGCAAGGAATAAGAAAGTGATGATTTAAAATTAAGGTTCTGAACACATGGAAAACGACAAGCTACAGGCCACAGCTTCCAATTCGTTATCTTCTATATATAAACGGTTTGTCGATGACGTCATGATTTTTTTGAACGCGGCAGCGACATCTTGAATTTGTATGAGTTTGACACAAAAGAAGATGAAGAACCTTATCTGTCACTAAAAATAGAAATAGATCTAATCTGGCCACAGTCCTCGCGTAGCCCGGTCGTCGCCAAAATAATTATCTACATACGAGAACGTATTAAAATAATTTGACAGCTGTGGTCCGTAGCTTCTCGTTTTCATTGTGTTCGGGCCAAAGAACGTAGATAACAAGAAGGGACAACTCGTTATAATTGTAGCGAAAGTGCGCAACAGGGGCGTGCCTTGTCTTTTGCCCTAGTGCGTTTTTTGATTGGATGAAAAGAGAAGGCACGCCCCTGTTGCGCACTTTCGCCACAAATTTAACGTGTTGCCCCTTCTTGTTATCTACGTTCTTTATTCGGGCTATAAAAGAAAACAGCCTTATGACATCACGCGTCATCAACCGTAATCATAGGCATGCAAAGTCTATAATGACCATCGAAAAGCTCGTCTTATTTACAAGTCGCAGCAAAAGTTTATCTGTAGTAAAACAGCTGTTCTTTGTTCACATTTTCTTTGTTCTTTTTGAGCGCCACTGCCACAGACTGGATTTCATTTAAAGAAAATACTCCGCAATGGATTAAGAAACGCCGGAAAGTGAGTAATTCTTTAATAGGAAAATTCATTTCATTTTATTAATTTTTATTATTATGTGCAGTTTCTTAAGGACCACCCCGACCTGCAAACGGGTAAAAACTGTAAAAAAAACTGTTGTCTCGGTGAGAGGATGGAATTTTTACCGCGTGAAGTAACGCCGCCTATTTGTTTGGCAGCCTAGCCGCGCGGCCTAATTTCATGTTTTGATCGTTTATGATTGGCAGAATTAGATTACCCGCGTCAAATCACTAATAACTTTTGTTTTTCATTTGGTCGACAAATCAAACCACAAGACAAAGAAAGGTGGTCCGCGCCCCTCTTCTTCGGCAACAAGGAAAGGAGAATTATACTTAGTGAGGGTCATAAGCCCTAAGCGCGGCCGAAGTCCGCCTACGCAGAAAGGTGTTCTCTGCAAATGGTGTTCAGCCCTTCTTCTTCGGCAACAGAGAAGGGGGAATTCTACTTAGTGACCATAAAATCAATGCAGCAATATGCAGCTAAGGCTTGGTGGAAATCAACTATAAAGGACTTTTTAGCGAATTCTTTTCTTCGTGTAAGCTAGTGTACTTAATGAACTCGTAATGTATCTATATTTTATGTTTTCTTTTTACGTGGTTTAAAATCAGAATATTTGTTTAGAATGGAATTTTTTTGTGCTTAAGTACCTTAAGAACTAAAACTTTGGAAATTCTTTCTAAAATAAATTTAAAAAAATGTTAAATCGATGAAAAATTGGGCCCGCCCTTTTCTTAACTCTAAAATTTTTTATTTAGTCCTTTTTTTTGGTGATTTTAATCCTAAATGGATGACCTTTCTGGCAACACTGTTAAAATGCCCCGATTAGAAGCTTTCCAGTACATTGTGAATGAAAAAGAAGAAGAATAAATCCACCACACTCGGTGGATGATTCCATTTTTCGCAGTGTGTTTTAGAATTTAGTGAGGTGTGCACTTATTTTTCGCTCCAGCGCTTCAATCACCGATTTCCAATTGCCAAATTCATTAAAAAGAAGAAAAGAAAACAAAATTGCTTATAAAAATGTGAAAATTCAATTAAGTGACGAATATTTGCTAATATATACACTTGCAGCAGTAAAGCCATTAGAATTGTGGAAGAAGTGCCTTTTGTACTGCGTGCCGAGACCCATCGACCGAATGTGTTTATTTTTTAACTCAAATTGGAATTGTGAAAAAGTTTACTGAATTATTTTCTTAAAGTGCACCTAGTTGGGTTCGAATAATGTGTATAGTGGAGTTCTCGCAAGTTTACACATAAATAGACGATATTGCAGATGCAGTTTTTCTGGATTAAACTACATGTGTACATACTTTGGTATTCTCAACTTTCCATAATTGCTTCATTCATTTTCTGAAATTTTGAACTCAGTCGCAGCAGCCAGCGTTGCCGTGTGTATTTTCAGAAAGTCGCAAAAAGGGGTAATTGACGGAAAAAGGCTCACCATATTATTTTTGCTTTTCTTTACCAGTAAAAGAATAAGGAAAAAAGTCGTCGTTTAAAGTACAAAACCGCATATTGTCATTCTGCAAAACCGCGTAACTGACATTTGCTGTCAAACATTGGATTTGCTTACGCAAGCTCTTAGCTTAATACACTAGCCAGAAAGGCAGTTGCTCTATAAAAAAAAGAAACATTTTGAATAATGAGTGTGTTTACTTTAGAAAATAATTCATGCAACCTCATATGCGCGGTTTTGCATTATCTTGATACGCGGGTTTGTACTTTAAACGACGAAGTTCAGAATAGTGACTCCTCACCCCGGGAAAAATGGAAAAGTGGGCGTGGCCCGCCCGTTTTTCCTGATTTCATAGGTATATAACATTTTTTGTGCAAATGAATGTTATGAGCGCTGGAGAGGAGAAAATGGCGAATCACGCCCACTATTCCGTTTTTTCAGTGGTGAGGAGTCAATATTCTGCACTTATATCAAGAATATATCGGGGAAAAGCTTTGAACCATACACATCATTCGAGTTGCTGCATGGAGAAAAGTTGCCTCTCCTTTAAAAGTTTTAAGTGATGAATTATTTCGTACTAACAGGAGGAAATAATTTTTAATAGCATGTTTCTGTTAACATTTCCTAAAAAGATCTCCGAAAAGGGGCAAAAGTCGCACATAATTTGGTAAAAGGATCAAAAAATTAAAATTTTCTAAAAGTCGAATCAAAGGGCATTGACGCCTAAAAATTGTCAAATTGGCCCTTTAGTACAGCCACGGCAGCACTGGCAGCAGTGTTGTTACTTCAGAAACCAAATTAGTGGTAGATTTAAAAAAAAAACAATGGTTGATCTCTAGAAAAGTGTGGTAAAGTAATTGTAGAATTAGTATTCAAATGTAGATAAACTGCATTCTCAGTTATGTCCTATCGCACAGTTTTTCCGAAATATTGGCCCTCATTTTTATTGCGTTAGACGCGACTAGACACAAATAAGGACGAGTGCTCAAAAGTTGGCCACGAAAAAAGAGGCATAAAAACTTAAGCGACGAAAGACTTAACGGCGGAGAAAGACCCGTAAAACTTATTTTCGTAACAGATAAAGTGTTGTTGTCTGTGGAAATACTTTTAGTAAGCAACTTCACAGACGTTTTCTCAGGCGATGTCGAATCTCTAAGATAATTGCTTCATGTAAGTGCAGATTACAAATTTCACAATAAATTTTCTTGACATTTAAATTCATATTGAGGAGAAAATTGACTGTACAACTCTTAAAAAAAAACATTTTTCAAATTAGGTTGCTTGATAATTTTATTTCAGTAGAATTGTGGTAGTTTTTTAAAATATGTGCTATGTAGTTGTAAAAAAAAAATTGCCCAAAATGTGGGAGATCCACCACAATAAAGTGGAAACACTGACTGGCAGCAGCAGTCAGCGGCTGTGGTTGCCATTGACGCAATCGTTTACGTCGACGTCGACGCTTTATTTACCGTGAACGATTTTGTATAGCGCTGAACCGGTTTGGGACATTTTTCTCTTCATCTTCTTTGGCACCAAGAAGCAACCCTGCACATACAAAACGTAATGTCAAAATTTTCGTTCCCTTTTGACTGTATTTTTTTTTATTTGCTGGAAATCGCTTTAGACGAGTAGTCATTTTGGCCATTATTGGATGTGGTTTCTGTGGAAAGAAGTGCAAGAGTGGCGCCGAGCCAATGACCGCATATTCGGTATTAGCAAAACCCATAAAATCTCATTGAGTGCAGCGAAAAATTGTGGAAACCTTAAAAAGCATTTAACAATTTTTCTATTTTTACAAAAATTCGAAAAGAAATTTGTGGGAAAAATTTGTGTTTATAGTACATATAAGAATTCTTTGTTGTAAGAAAAGTGAATGAAGGGGAAAAGTGAACGTAAAAAATATCACCTCATCGCATCCGTCAAACATTGCAACAACAACGACATCAGCAAATTCGTGAACGGGAGCAACAATTAAAATACGGTGAAAATTTTGCTCTAAGGAAAAGCAACACAATCGTATTCACATCCGCTCATTTGGCTCGTGGTTTTCGTGGTTTCCATCGTGGTCGTCGTCGTGTTTGTCGTGCTGCGGGCTTTGTTGCTATTGTGCCTTTAGCCAATTTTGTTGTTATCGTGGCCACATTTTGATCAGATTTTCCATTTTCGTTGACTAGTGGAAAGAGTGGTTGGCGTTTTTTTTTTGCAACTGCGCTGTTAACTGACGAACTCGGAATCAACGACGCTGCGAGAGAACTAGCCTTCGATATTGCCATCGCAATCGCCGGCTAAGCAACCAAGGCAATATCCGTGCAGCCCTTCTTTGCATTCGTACACATTTCGCCCCACCACTATTGGGCAACTGACATTAGCTTAACACAAATCCCTATCGCGTTTTCGCGACGTTCTCCAACAAACCTTGTGCGCTTTTGACATTTACCA